GAACGAATAATGTCCGTTGAATCATCATTTAAATATTATCTTTCGTTTTTTTTTCTGAAACGGGTCTTGCATTAACGGAAGCAATAAAAAATTTTAGAAACCATTCAAATGTTTACGAAATCATTTTTTGCCAAATTTCAAAATTGTATTGTATCAGCTCAGTGGGTTTTATTATCAAAGGTGGGGCAGAAAATTTTAGTCCGAAACTTTTATCAAGAAAAGTTATAAGAACTATGGTCATAGTATACGCGCCCATAATCCTTTATCCTTGCATTTTCCAAAATTAAAGGTGGTTGATTTAAAACCGGGCTTTGTTTAAGAGACGATTAACTATTACAATCTTAGTCGTTAGTAATAATGTCAGAAATAGAAGAGGGGCAGTTTTTATTCCACAACTCCTGAAAGTTTACTCGTCACAAATTTGTATGCATTTAGTAGCAATTATTACAATTTATTGTAGTGTAACTCTTAAAAGATATCTGGATTGGTTTTTATTCTTCGTTGTGATCTTAAAATTCAGAATTGCTTTAAAAAATGTTTTTAAAATAAATAAAAGGTTTCTGAAACTTTCTTCAAATTTTTTTTTCCGGATCGTTGTAAATGTGTCAAATAAATGTACTAAACTCAGTGGCGCGACAGTCCATAGAGGGCCAAGACCTACTGTGCCCATCTCAGTTTTCTTGACCTTGGGTTTTGGAGTGCAGGAGCAGATGTTCCGGTTAGGTGGTTAGCCGAACGCGAAACCCCCAGTGCTATGTCCCAAGCATGCTTGGGGATTAAATAAATGTAACTAAAAAATAAATGAGACATTTTTGCTTTTGGAATATTTTTGTGTTCATAAATTTTGTCATGCTTGGAGAGTGGAAAAGGAGTTCTTAAAATTGTGACCAGTTTGTAATAAGAGGGAAGGAGGGGGTACCAAAAATTGTAAAATTTGGAAAATTGGTTGAAATTAAAAAAGTATTTAAAACCAGCAGATTTTTATCTAATAATTTCTTTTCTTCATATTTTTCATCAAAACAGGTACAAGTTTAAACATATTACTGTTGTGATGTTCATAATTTAAATTGAAAAATTTCGTTCAAGTATAAAAATAGTATTTGAAATATAATCTATCACGTGCGTGTTGTTTCTCAACTGCTAGTTTATGTTTAAGTAATATAGTATGTTTAAGTAATATAGCATGACATGTGACAAGGGGTTAGAGAGGGTAAGGGAAGTGTTGAACTTTAAGACCAAATAGTGTAGAGGGGTTAAAAAAGCGTAAAGTTTTACGTCATTTATGGATGGCCACTTAGTTTAAAACAAAAAGATTTTTGTAATATGTCATTATGTCATTTTAAAATTGCAGGAGATACAAGTAGTGTTCCTTAACTACTATCTTTTCTTTAATATGTATTTCTATGCTCTTTTTTCAAAAATTAAGAGAACTATTTGCTTATTAAGGATCAAATTTGATTAAATAGTTAAGGTAGTGAGATTAAAATAGGAAAAGAATAAATAGAACAAGTAAATAAAACTACAAGTTAATAAAGTAAATAAAATCGAACAAGCAATTAAAACATGGTGAAGGTGTAGTTATTATTAAGGGTGTAATTCGCAGAAAAGGCAGGATTAAAAAAAAAAAACTGTTTAAGTCAATTTATTTGCCTGATTACATGATAAGCGCTGAAAATAGGTGAAATGCGATGTTTTGTTTGATCTGCCGAATAAACAAGTTTTGGTGTTTTGAAAGCTTTGCTAATTGTTTTTCTGTTAACAACTTTTGAGCTGTAATTTTATTATTATTTATTTATATTTTGAAAAAAAAAATCAGTTTCCAAAACTTTAGCCAGAAAGTTTTTTATATTTTATAATTACTTTTTTTCATAATTTACGACTCCTGATATGTATATTTGTTACCTTTTTGATATGGATATTAAAACATATAGAAGAGCAATGATTGAAGAATACCCTGCATATTTGAGATATTTTTTGAATGATCTTACTACTTTGTTGCTACGCAAAACCGTATAAAAGATAAATATGATACTTTATGAAACAAAAAGTAAATATTTGCTTTTTAGCTAATCATTATAAGCTTTTAAATATTTTTCTTTTAAAAGTTTTAAAAGTTTTTGCTAATTTAAAAGCAAACTAATTGCAATCGCATGTTTCTAATGTTCTTTTATGTTAAATAACTTTGAAACATCAAAGCAACTTCCTCGATTCCATTAAATGAAAATCCTTGTACTAACTTTTTACCAGAACACTGTTGAACACAAACACTTTGAAGTTCGTATTGTTTTAATTTAGCGCTGAATAAATAAAAGAAATAATAATGTATATACACAGGAAAAAAATTTAACAGAGCCAGAGTTTCTGTTTTAATTTGTTTAAAAATTAGCACCTTAATAAATTTTTAGTTTTTTTCTTTATAACTCTCGCTTTATGCGAGTTACTGACGACATGGAATATGATTTATTCTATTGTTAAGAACGATATCAGCATGGGAACTTATGACAAAATTATTACCAAGTTTTGGCGGTTACTGGACAGGGGTACTGGCACGTGAAAAAATTGAAAGAAAAAAAGGACAAACTTGAAAGGAAGAAGGTTTTTGCTAATTGCTGAATATTCCATAAGAAAAAAAAATTATTGATATAGAAGAGTTGAATTTTAAAATAAATTTTATAAGCTAAAATGTAGTAATAGATTTGCTCTATATTGTTTGACTAAACGTCTATGTTTGTATAGAATGTTCAAAGACTTTGAAATCGATTTGATGCAAAACAAAAATTCCAAACATATAAATTTTATTTTTCTGGTGATTTTTCAGAGAATTGATTTTATTAGAGTTACATGAACAAATAAGTTAAAATAAAAAATACATTTTTATGTTGAAAAAAGCAACATTATAAAAGCAGCATTTTACATTAAATTAATTGAAATTATGCTTAACGAAAATAAAGGAATGATATTTAATTTATTCAAATATAATGATTAATTTTTTAAGCATTTCAAAGTATAATTATAATTTCTTTATTTCCGAATGCAGTAGATGGCAGCACTAATTTCTTCAAATTATAATTAAACAAGGAAAAACTTTGTATAGAATTAGAGCACATCAAATATATTTTATTTATTATTTTATAATTCAGTTATTGTTTTAGATATAATATCAATTTTACAGGTTTAGTATTTGCAAAGAGTAACTTTTCACAATTAACAAACTTCTAAAGATTCGTTTTTAAATATTTACCTAAATTTTACTCTAAAACTATAAGATTATGTTTAATTGTAGTTTTTTAAAAAAAATTGACCAAGAAATAATTAACCAAATAAAAATTATTAACCTATTGTATATTGTATATATTAACAATTGCTACTAAGTAATTATTGTTACAAATAAAAAATTCCAACAAAAAGGTAAAGAAAAGATGTTAGTAATTTATTTTTTGAAATAAGTTTTTTAGCTTAGTATTAAAACAGTGAAGGAAGCAATTTGTAATTAAAATGAAATAGCGTTACACTTTTAAATCATCGTGAATACTACCTTAACATTCAAAGAATTGTTTTAAATGACGTGAATAATTAAATTTTATTTTTATTTCCTTAAAGAAATATACTTTTTTGTAGGAATAAAATATTAAAATGATTCTATAAAAAATTAAAAATAACAACAACAACAACAACAAAAATGATTTCGAGTAAAATATTTTTTTGACAAAAGAGCTTATTTCATTAAAAAGTAAATTTTTTATGTAAGAATAGAAGCTTATAAAGTAAAGTAGAATAGTTGTTAAAATACAGTGCTTAAAAAGTTTGGCTCAATTAATAAAAGAAAAATTGGTGTAAAAGGAATTACAGATAAGTAATACTTTTAAAGAATATATTAAAAATGAAATAACTTTCAGAAATTTAATGAAAAACAATCAACAAAATGAATTAGTCCTTTCCTTAGCTTTAAAAATAAACGTTATCCATAATTGAAATATTAAAAAAAAATATTTTCACTAAAAAATATAATGTAGTTAATCGAAAGTTTTTAAAATATAGACCTTAAAATATAGACTTTAAAATATTTCAGTGTAAAATTAAGGTAAATCGTACGATAGCTGAGTAACTGAAAGAAATTTTACGGTTAAAAAATATTTTAGTATTTACGGTTTTTTTACCGAATTCTGAAAAAAGGTTAAATATACAAAATTAATATTTTCATTCTTGTTCATTCTTGTTTCATTCTTATTTTTAAACTAAGGTAGTGTAACTGATCAAACTGTTGATGTACACTGTATTGGTCACAAGAACACAGTGCTTTAATTATAAATGTAAAGATTATATTTCCCTTCAACGTGTAAATCTACGAAAAATTATTTGAAAAGCAATTCGCTATAATTTCAATCAATTATTATTTAAATTATTAATCAATGTTCGGGCAATAATTTTTTGAGCATCATTTCATTCAATAAAATGCATTCTATGAATTTAGTCACCAAATTTAAATTAAAAGGCATTTTTAAGAATTTTTCAAAGCTACTATAGTAGCTTCTGCAAAGTTAAAAATACCTAAAATTTAAAATTTAGTATTTTTCTACCATAAAATGTATTTTAATTATTAAAATAAAACAATAAAATATTTCAAAATATTGAATAATGATTTATTATATATAAAGTTTATTGATTTTCACGATTTTCTGAATAGGTTAATATGGTATAGGGAATAATATTTTAATAGATTTTCGAATTTATTTTTAAAACGAATATGTAAGAAAAATAACGCAAAACTTTAGAAGTTCTTTTCGTTCAGTAAAGAATTTCGTTTGAAGATTTAATACTTAATTTAAAGTGTCCTTCTGTTGTGTTAGTTTGTTCAAGTTCATATACTCATAAAATAAAAATCTCACCCAAAATCTTTTCTAATATTTGTTTTCAAATACAATATATGTATTGAGTAAGGAGAGAATTTATTGTCCTATTTTATTTTATTGCATGACCATAAAAAGTTTCCCTGTACAGATGGAGTAAAAGCGAGTAGTATTTCACAACTGACTTGTAAGCTGCTGCCTTATTTTATTATCTTTATTTCTGCGTACGTTACAATAGTGAAAAATTTAAAAGCATCGATGTTTGATTCAGCGCTTTTCTATTAGAATTAAATAATTTTGTTATATCGCATGATTCACAGAAATTGCTTTTAAATTACATTTACTTTACGGAAATCACTTCTTTTAATGAGGTATGTTAGTATTTCATGTTAAATAGCTTAACTGTAATTTTTTGTCTACAATGCTCCAAAAAGATTTCTCAATTGTACACGGAGAAGAAAATTCTCGAAAAATTACCGAACTGTATAGTAATGACATTACAGGTAAAAAAAACCCGATAATTCTGGTTAATAAAACCAAAATATACAGTATTTAAACCATTCATTTAATGTTTTTTCCTTTCATATGGTAACGATTTATAGGGAATTCTGGTTTTCAAAAATATAGCTCTTATTACCACAAATTTAGTAAAAAATACAAAACTAGAGATTAAAGTTAACCGAATAAGTAGTTTTTATGCCATGCTCTAAGCATGGCAAAATTATCAAATTTTATCACACATTATAAAACCCTATTTTAGAGTTGATTTTACCGAAACATACGCTTTGTTAAGAATTACCTAGATTTTTGGTGCTCCCTTAGAACCAAAAACAACGTAAATTTTACAATATTCTGGTAGTTTTGGCCATACCTTTTTATTAGTGCATATTTTAACTTTTTTAAAGGATTTCAAATATGATTAAAAACAAGCAGTGTAAGGCATAAATTTATGAATAAGTACGTGAAAGCGAGCAAAATGAAAAAGCTTGTATATTTAGAGTAACGATAACTCATTTGGTGCACCCATAATTCCAGAAGCGCGGTGAATTTTACCATATTCTGGTAGTTTCGACAATGCCTTTCTTAATTTTTCGTTTTAAAGGTTTACACGGGAGATCTTGAAATTTTTTAAATAAAATAAAAAACTAATAGCGTAAAGTGTAAATTTATGAATAAAGAAAGTGTACGTGAAATGTATGAGAAAACAAGGAAAATTTTAAAGTTAACCTTATTTAGATAAACTATAATTTATAAGTGTTTAATTTTAAAAAAAACAACTTTTGATATCAACAATCTTTGAAAAAATATTGTTCGTAAATTTAGAAGCAAATTCTTTTTAAAATAAAAGCTTATTTTATAACCACCATTGAAACAGAATTTAATGAAATTCAGTCACAAAAGGAACAGGCCGTTATTGGTTATAAGAAAAGTTTGAAAAAAATGAGAAATTGATGTAACGTTCTCAGTACCCTGAGAAACAAAGTATCGTAAAAACTACCAGAATACTCTATGGGAAAACCAAATACCTTGTAATTTTTAACAAAGCGTTTTAGTTATCATTTTGGTAAAGTTACTAATTAAATATTGTTTTATAATATGGGATAAAATTTGATAAATGTTTTAAGTTTGATAACTATATCGTGATACCTGAGACCATAACATTGAAAAACAATTTATTCGGCTAAAAGTGCTGTTTTAAAAATTTTATGTTTTAAACAACGTGTAACATTTATTCAATCCTTATTATTAAAGAATTATATATTAAAAAATTAATAAGAAGTTTTAAAGCTGTATTATTGCTAAAAATTTAATTCAGGATTGTGAACAATATGTTATAGGAATACAATAATAAAGAAATACATATTGTCAAAAATTTTAGAATTATCGTGAAAATTTTTTTTAATTTTACTTATATTTCGTTTTAATTGTAAACAACGAGGTGTGAAAGAAAAATGTAAAAATATTTTTATTATTTTTTGACATCAGCGGTTAAATGGATATTTTAGTGTAAAAGCAGTTCTGTGTTTTAAAACTGTTTCAATTTTATCCCACACGTTATATAAATCTTCGAGTATTAAATGTTTGGATAGTAAATAGTGTAACCTCGAGGTAATAGTTTTGGAGAAGTAAATATTTTCCAATAAATATTTTCTGGTTTATGCATGCAAATATTTTCCTCCGAAATAGATACTATGAATTTTTAATATTTCACGAAAAATGTGTAAACTTCTTCTGTCAAATAAAGATTTCTTGTTCGAGTATATATTTTGAGTCAATTAAAAAAAATAAAATGCTTTTCCTTGTAACATTTACTTGAAGCTGAATATATTGAAATTAATCTACATTCATAGTCTGAAATGCTTATAAAAAGCAATAAAATATGACGACATCGTATTAAAGGTTGAAACAGGCATTTTAAAACAAACATATATTTAAAATCTTATCAATTATTTATATTCCTAACAACTATAACTATTTTTTTATATTTCTTGGAAATTTAAAAGCAAATAAGCATAATCATGATTCTGCTTAATTTTTCTTAAAATTATTTTGTTACTTTTGAAATCATTAGTGCGGAAGAATTTCGCCTCTGCTGGCATTAATTTCTTTATTTTTCAATTCTTTCTCAAACTTTATGTTGCTTCTGAGCAGCATTATTTTGATTAATTAGTTATCGTCAGTTACCTTTTCGATTGGGAGATTGAGGGAGATCTTATTATTCCTTTAAGTGACTTAGATGCTCAGATTTTCTACTAACGCAATTCATTATAAATTCACCATAGATTTTTAAAAATTGTCTGTTAGAGATTGGTTGGTACCATAGTCTGATTATTTACTCACTTCCCAAAATGATTGAAGTTTTTAAAAATCAATTGAAGATTGTTGATATGTGATTGATTGTTGGTAAATATTTTTTTTTTACTTTTGAAGAAAATTTTATAGTTAAATTTGATGTTTGTAACGAATAAAACACTTATTCGATCATTGCAATGTACATACATAGTGATATAATTTTGTTGTACCGAGCCTTATTAAGGAACAGAAACAGTTCTTGCACTTGATTTTCGAAGGGTCCATCAATACATGAAATAAAACGTTTAAGTGAGTAATATGCTATATTTATAACTGTTGTAAGTACTTAAGAGTATTTCATTACTATTAAGTTTTGCCTGTCATGTAGTCAGTGTCTTCCTTGCTAATACTGAAATGAGCGTAAAATGTCAAATGTCAAGAAGACAAAATTTTATGAAAAGGAATAGTGTTTTAATCTAATTTTTTAATATTTAAAAAATTACTCCGAAGCTGTGCTATTTGATCTTATATAACATTGAAAATATATAAGATCAAATAGCACAGCTTATAAAGCATTGCAAAAAACTGAAAAATATTAATGAATTTTAATGATTTTTTCGAAGTAGAAAAAAGCTCTCTGAATTGGAGATTTTTATGCAAGTCTAATAATATTTTAAAAATTTCAGCTATTTGTTGGTTTCTTACGTTTATTTATTCTTGTGTTTGTTTCAATTCTATGTGAAAGAGCTTCGGAAAAAAAATTTGAAATTTTAGAAAAAAAATTTGAAATTTTGAAAAGAGTTGAATGTTCCATCTCTTTCCTTGACAAATGCTACTTCTGATATGAATGTTTTTCATAAATTTTGAATCGATTTTCATATACTTTTTTATCTAGTTTCTTTCTATCTAGTTTTCTTTCTTTTTCTTTTTTATCTAGTTCTATCTAGTTTCTAGTCTTTTTTTTAAAAAAAAAGAACTTGAGAAAATTTTTCAATTTTATTAATGAATATTTTTTTAATCTAAATTGAAGATTGAAGTTTAGTTGAACAGAAAATAGTTTTTTAATTTTAAGTTTTTTTTCGGCAATCCGGACTTGAATCCTTATAGTTGTACAGACGTTTTAGGACTACTTCCACAATTGAATTGAATTTACTTAGGAATACTTTCACAATTGAACCTAGCTATTTTTAACAAAACACATTTTGATAATATAAAATAAAAAAGTTAGGAGAATAAATGAAATTTCGAAGTGAACAAAAAACAAAACAACTTTTATAACAAAAGGTGAACAAAAAAAGAAGAAAACAAAAGTGTATCATCAAGTTATGACCAGTAGTTGGAGTAGTTGAGGTTTTTCTTCCAGATCATAAAATAAAACATTTTTATTCCTTTCCGGAACAGCAAAAATTTAGTCAAGCAGGACATTAGCAAGTGCGACCGTAGACAACATTCTAAGTGAAGTGGCATATTTTAGGTCTTTGTTATTTAAGGAATAGTGGCTGCTAAACATTTAAAAGTAATACACTCTCCAAAATATCCCCTAGAATCTATTTTTCACTCAGTATTTCTTAAGAAAATTACCACTGCAACTTGGTTTAGATTGTACCAAAATATCATTTTAAAAAGCATTTAAGACATTGACATTAATAAGAATTGATTATAAAGTATTAAAAGTTGAAAAACAAACGCTATATTTAAAATATATTAACTAGATTACATTTCTGTTAAATTTATGTTTCCTTATAGGCTATGCAACTATTCTCGTAATCGATAAAAGTCTTCCCAGAGAGCAACTTTTATAGACAATATGACTTACATACTGAAGGATGTGTTTGGAACAATTGATGACGTTGTATTTGCTCTTATGCTTCTACTGTCCGCAAGCATAGGCATTTGGTATGCTATCGTGGACAGAAAAAAGAACAGCACCCAGGAGTACTTAATGGGAGGCAGAACTTTGAGTGTTTTTCCTGTGGCTATGTCTTCATGGCACGGTTTTCTCTCAGCTGTCACCCTTTTGGGAGTACCATCTGAAGTTTATCGATATGGAACACAATATTTGACTACCTTCTTAACTTTTTTCTTGATTATACCTGCCACTGCTTACCTATATGTACCAGTATATTACAATCTGAGAATAACTAGTGCGTATGAGGTAAGCTCACCTCAATAGATTTCAGACTGCTTATAATATAATATAATACAATATAATATAATATAATATAATATAATATAATATAATATAACATTACGTAACATAACATAACATAACATAACATAACATAACATAAACATAAACATAATATAATATAATACAATACAAAATAGACGGCTGTACCAAATGAGCTGATGAAAGTGAAGTTTATANTAACATAAATATAATATAATACAATACAAAATAGACGGCTGTATCAAATGAGCTGATGAAAGTGAAGTTTATATCCTTTGCTTTATTTTGAAGTTTCTTATAAATTATTTTATATTATTTCGTCACTCATATGAATTGTATTTTTATATTTTCCAGTAAAATAATATTTTGCATTTGCTTAGTTTTAGTACACGTTTTTAGAAAGATCGATTTAGTGTTGTGCCTTAAAACTGGTTTAACATTGAAGCAATACTCTGGTCTATTGGTAAGTTAAATCATGTTTCCATGCAGGTTGAACCTGAGACCAAAGCATTCAAGTGATTTAAATTTCGGTAACAGAGTGACACCTGGCACCCTATTATTGTGAAACCTACAATTCAAATATGAAATTTTTGTTATTTTCCTACTATTATGTCAAAAATTTACTACTATCTCGAAAATCTTAACAAATCAGTACTATTTGTTAAAAATATTTTGTTTTTCTTCCTTCCGATTTTAAAATTGAATTTTTGAATCAAATGTAATTTATTTTAAATATTTGTAATTTTAGTAATAAATTATTTCGTACTCTGTTATAAATTTTGATGCGACTTGAAGCATAATATCTTACAATTTTTTTTAATCAACCTTTATACGATGAAATCTTTAATCAAAGTTTATCGGACATTTAAACTTGACTAAACAGTAAAAAATTCCGGTAAAAAATGCCAGCACCCTTGATGCGTCATCCGTACAATAAATTTCTCCGTAAAATTTTATACCGTATATTTTACAGTAATAATTATTTAATTAAAGTGATTCAGTGATTTTTCAATAAATATTACAAAAATATTAAGGCATATCAGATTTTTTGTTAAAAGTACCAGCATTCTATATGCCTATTCATTTCACTGTAATTTAATACAGAATTTTTTTCAGTGCACACGATATAGTTGTTTAGCTTGAACTTTGACTTAACACCTTATTAAAGTTGCAATAAATGTGTAGTGTATTGTGTTTTAATGCTGAAAAGTTTTTGAGAGTTTAGTTATAATTTGCAAGTTGCGTGAGCTTTTAGAAATAATTTAAGCACATTTCTTACAAAAATATGAATGTAGAGTTTATTATATATTTTAACAATAAACGAAAACTATCTAATATTTGTATCTCCTTAATATTTTATCTAATTAACTAAATATTCCTTACCAAAAAAATGTGATTTTTTTCAGTATTTAGGATTAAGATTCCATAGATTCATAAGAACAATTGGTTCTGGTGTGTTTTTCATGCATATGGTGAGAAAAGTTCTTTGATTTATCAAATTCATTAATATACTTGTTATTATTTTATTAAACGTTCTTCTAATAATCAAAAACGCTAAAAATTTGAAGATAGATCACATTTTTTTTCTCTTAATGAGTGATTGAATCCAAAGATTAATTTTTAAATTTCTGTATTTTTTGAGCAAGAGTGAAAAATAAGTAATTTAACCATGTTTTTAACTAACACATATGTTTCCTTATAATGCTCTGAATAAATATATCTATGCATTTTGTTAATAGAAAAATCCACCGAAAAGTAGAGCAAAAAATATACTTAAAATAACAATGTCTTCTTTCTTATTTTTAATGAAAATGGAGAAAAACAGTCACAATGTTCCAAGAGTTCAAAATCTGAAGCTCTTTGTCAGAACTACAAGCAAATGATTATCGCGTATTAATTAATCATCATTTATGAGTAGTCCTAGCGAAATCATACGTATTTTGAACGGTTGAAGCACATTAACATTTTTTCTACTTACGTTATTCATCCTTTGTAAGACCGTGGGAAGCATACTTCCCACGAACTTCAACTTTTAATTTCAATGAGAGACTATGTTCTCATTTATGATTTGTGCTGCCATCTGTTGATAATTTAAAAAAAAAACTTTTAAAAAATGAATGACTTTGCTTTACAAACATGTGGATAACAGTTAGTGTGTGACCAAGAACACTGTAAAAATTTCAGGATAAAAAGGACTGGCACCCTGAACGCAGCATCCTTAAAATCTATTTTACCATGAAGTTCATTTTCACAATAACATTTTACCGTTTTCCCAGTAATATTTATTTAATTATAGTGATTAGTTGATTTAACGGTAAATATTACGATAAATCCGATTTTTTTGTTTTGTAAAATTTTACTGTAAAAACGGATTTTACGGCATCATGCACCTGTGACACCTGCGTTTCTGAGCTTTATTGTCCTTTAACTTTTTGCTATCTGAAATCAAAATGGTTACACATCGCGATCCTAGACATGTTTACACAAAATGTGTTAAGTTAAAATGTACAACTATATCATTGAATGTATTATGTATAGAAAAGAAATAGATGTAATAAACTGTTACGTAAATGAATTTAAAAAGTAAAAAGGAATGTTAAACTTAAAGTACTTACCTTGAATTAAAATTCCTCAGTAAAATCAGTTTTGCGTTTAATAAAGTGAGATACTAATTGGAATTAAATATTATAAAACTGACCTTTTTATAATTTCTTTTCAAAAATCCCTATTAAATATAAATGCCTGATTTACAGTTACCGTAATTACAATATCTTAAAGCAATTTTAAACTTTGCAAAAAAGTAAGTTAGATGTATTAAAGAAGTATATGTTTGTTATTCAAAAATAGTTGTAAATATATGAAAGACAAATATAATGTAAGCATAACTAAATCTGCATTACGAAACAAACAGTTATTCCAACGTTAAGTGAAGCAATTTCTCTTATTAAAGGCAGACAAATTTCACAACAGATATATCAGGTGACAAAATAAGACAAATGTGCTTCTATTGCTAAAATATGAAAATTTCATTCGTTCTTAGTGTAAAAATTGATTACAAACTGCCATTTATTCAAAAAATAACAACGCACTTTATAAAATAAAATATCATTAATTAATCTGAAATTAAAGGGATTTAAAATAAAATTCAATAGAAAAATATCTTTGCAAATATCTGATTTTGTTAAAATGCTAATACTTACAAGAGACTTCTGATGAAACTATCTATTCTTCACTGCGCAAATCATTTTTGATTTCATATTTTAACTTATTTAAATTAATACACAGTATTCTGTTTTGAGTTACTCAGAGGGATAATTATTTGTATACACATGAAATTAAAAAGGAAGTCCTGAGACTCTTTTAAACTTTCAATTTCTATGGACGTTGGTAAGATTTAACGCTCTTTTTTTCCAACGCCCACTTGACAATTCGTCAATTCAGGCGCATCAGGGCAGATTTGTTGGCAACTCTTTCGGGGGTACCATAATAGGCAGGCCGACGTTGCTGCCACAGTAAAGACAGATAGTACAGAGAATGAAAGAACATCAATACTTTGTCCGGGATTCGAATCCAGAACCTTTCTGATAATTAATGTTTAACTGACTCTTCTGCTTGCATTTTTTACCAAATGTGTGGATTCTAATGTCTTTTTTTATTTAGTATTATTTGTTGACCTTGTCAGTGGTTTTACGTAGTTAAGTTAAGAAAAACACGTATTTATTCTTTCCTCCCACCAAAATAGAGTTTAACTGCTTTCGGTATCATTTTGCATTACGCTGTTGTTCTAGGCAATTAATGATATTTAAAATTTACCACAATCAAGCTTCTTTCTCCTATTCTGATGCATCTGAGGGAGGGGCCTTAAAAAAGCTATATCTTTAGTATCTATCATAAAAATGTACAGCATGGATGCAGCTGAAATAAAGCAAAATTTGCTTATACAATACTTTGTACCTATATAAGAGTATATTTGATAGATATCAAAACCGCATCAATTTAGTACTAATTTTATCAAGTATCAATTATTAGTATCAATTTTATTTTTTAATAATTGGTTAAAAATTCAGAAGCTGCAAAATTTAGTTACTTTATTTAGTTTCTTTTCAGATGATGTATATGCCCATCGTTTTATATGCACCCGCTTTAGCTCTAGCTGAAGGTAAGTAAAGAGTTAATTTTTAATTAAATAAAAAAAAAATTCAAATAAAAGGAGGGAAGCACTAACGTGGAAACTTAATTCTTTTCTTCAGCTGCAAATTTGAAATATTTAACGCAATATTTTATTTAAAATCATGTTCTCTTTCCTTTTTTCTTTAAAAGTTATGATTTCCAGGACTTGACCATACCGTGAATTTTCTTTATTCAAATCTTGATTTAACGCAGTAAACATTTGATTTTTGAATCTTCTGTATATTTTTTAATCTTATTTTTAAAATTTCAAAAATTTTAAGAAACAAATGACATTTTATATTTAAATAACTTTTAACGATATCATCAATTTTGTCACTATAATTCCTCAAACCTTGTGATCTTTCTCTTGAAATAAATAACTTGATTAAAAGCTTAATAAAAATGTACAAGCATAATAAAAATGTTAAATGCAAATGTAATTAAGTTTGAATGTTATGACATTACAATCCCAGTTAAGTGTGTTTATTATTCCCGAAAACAAAAAGATTCTCCCGAAAGAATTCCTTTTGTTTTCATTTTAAAATATTCATAATACAAAATAAGCTTCTTTTAATATATTAATTGTGATTTTAATAGAACAAAAATATGTAAAATACGAAAAAATATTTAAAAACATGCTGCATAATATAAAGTAAAACTTTTTAGTTGTTAAGTTGTTTTTCGTTCATTTTTTAATATATACGATTATAGAAATATTATTGTACGCAAGATTGCAATAAAAAGTTTTGATTTCCTGTTTGTACAAATTCCAGATATTTTTAGTAACATATGTTACATTTGAAATAAGGATTACTAATTTAAATTTCAACATTAAATTGAAAATTTTTATTTCAGTAACTGGCATCAAAATTTGGACTGCAATTTTTTCTACGGGACTGGTTTGCACGTTTTATACTTGCATAGTAAGTATTTAGTTGAAATAAAAATTGAAAACTTGAGTCTCAAGTTTATGAATTGAAAGTTTTAGTAATAAGAGATTTTTGAAAGAGTGGAGGCAGTGGCGGACTAAGGCTAAAGCGGGCCCTAGGCAACATTATAATTCCGGGTCTGTTTTTCAGTCATGACGCAAGCTTTGCGTTTGGTAGTTTAGTTTTAAAGCATATAGTGTGTAGTTCTATTTAATTACCGGTTTCAAGGAAAAAAAGGGTAAAAATAATATACATGTACAAAAATTAAATAAATATGATTTATTAAAACAAACAAACATAAACATAATTTATTAAAACTGACAATAATACTTAAACAAATATACCCAGATTGATTAGTTATATTGCCTTTTTTCTCACTTTTAGTTCTGCAAACTCGTCAATTAGTTTGTCATAATTGATACAGTTATTTAATAACTCTTTGTTATATGAAGTAATGATAAACTATTTAATTTTCATTGGCCTAATGTGGATCTTAAATTTTTTTTTATTCTGACCATTACTGAAAATGATCTTTCATCGCTTGCATTGCTTATTGGAAGGGTTAAATAAATTCTCAGAATTATGTTTAAATTAGGGAATGTTGCAATAATATTATTTTCCTGAATAAATGACCACATGGATACAGGCGAAATAATATTTTATTTACTTATGAATGTCTCAAATTGTAATACTTCATTTTTCAGTTTTGGTAGGTTTAAATCTTGTTCATAAAATTTTAATTCCTCTATTGAAGAGTCAAAAACATCACTATCATAAAAAAAATTTTTGAATTTATTGTTCATAGTTCTATATCCATCATATCTTTTTTTAATGTTGCTAATTAAAGAATCGCATGGAACAGAAAAATATTAACTTTCAAATGTTCTTTGCCACTGAATCTTACTTCATGTTCTGGAATTTCATCATGAAATAGTTTTCGTATTTTCTGCCGCTTTTTATCATTAGTATATGCAATATCTTTAACTATTTTTGCTTCTTTTTCTAAATTGTCAAAATCATCTCTAACAGTTTGTATGAAATCTATCAATGAATCATATATTAAAACTGCTGTATTTAAGGATTCGTCTTTTTGTTGAAGAGTTTTGTTTGAAGCATCTATTCTCTCTAAAATCTTTGCCCATATGGAAAGTAACAGTACATACTCAAATGTAACAAGTTTTTTACGTAAATTGGCTGCTTCGAACCTTGTTAATGGTTTTTCATCTTTGTTTGATGAAAAATGATGTAAACAATGTTTAATTTCTTCATAATTTTCATTTAAGGATTTCACAACATTGGAACGAGCAGACCACCTGGTGTCACAAATAGGTTTAATACTCAAGTGTTTGCTCTTACAAAATTTTTGGAATGCATTCCCCTCATGTGTAGAACTTGAAAAAATACGTACAATTCCTGCACGATATTGAAAAAAGCAATGCAACGATGCGAATGCGATTTTCATGCTTCCAGCTTTCGGCAGCAGCGTTTCCAATTAAATTTAATGAATGATTTGTGCACGGCATAAAATAGGCGGAAAAATATGTTCTTTTATTCTAGATTGGAGTCCCTTATATTTACCTGCCATATTAAACGCATTATCATAACTCTGTCCCAGACAGTTAGTGATGTCTAAATCTACATTATTTAACATTATTTATTAAATCTACATTATTTAATCTACAGTTTTTACCACTATGAGAATATATAGGTCGAAATCCCAAAAATCTTTCGTTTATATTACTTGGACGAACATAGCAAATAATAACGGTTAGCTGATCTACGTGAGATATATCAGGTGTTGAATCAATAATTAGAGAGTTAAATTTGGCTTCCTTTATTTCGTTCACTATAGTGAGTTGTAAATCTTTCGTCCACCCTTGTCGTCTTTATCTATCAAAGATTCGGCATAATTTGAATACGTTTCAGCTATAATTATGAATATCACGTTTCTCTATTAAATAAAAATAAAAATTAATTACAAAAATTAAAAACCTAATTTTCGGGCCCCAAAAATTACGGGCCCTCGGCACGTGCCTAGGTTACCTAGGCCTTAGTCTGCCCCTGAGTGGAGGTGTATTCACTTGCTTTAATTGTGCTTGCTTATAGGGTGGTGTAAAAGCTGTTGTCTGGACTGATTGTTTGCAATCTATTATTATGTACGGAGTGGTCCTAATGGTCGTTATAAAAGGTGCCCTAGATTTGGGTGGATTCGATGTTGTTTGGCAACGTGGTTTAGACAGTGGCAGAATTGAATTTTTTAAGTAAGTTTTTCTTTCTTAAAAATTAAGCTCCTTTTAAGAACAGAATAGTGTAAGCTATTTGATGATTCGGTAATTTCTTATCCTTATGTATAATATTTGTACAACCTTGCTAGACGCCCGACTGGTCATGATTTTTTAGAAAGCACTTATTACTTTATTTTCCTATCTTGACGACTTCAGTTCCATAATTGGCAAATTTTTAACGTAACAAAAATTATTGCCTACCATAAAAAATCTTTAACAATGATCCTCCTGCCAACAAATCTTGTAATAATTATTAGTTTAGATGTGATTTTGATAAATGAATTTGTAATCAACAAAAACTAATGTTCTGAATTTCTCTGAAATAGGAAATTGAATATTTTCTCTTTCAATTTCGCATTTTAGGGTAATCCAAAACAAGGCAAATTCAAAAGATTTGTACCGCCTATGACGAACAATATTAAATAATATATTTGTCAAAAATGTATTTCATAAATGCGTATCTAAGTCTTAAATATCTTCGTATCAAATCTGTATACATAAAAATAGTTTAATCCTTAATCAGAAGGAAATCTATTTAAAAAATATTGTTTATAGTGCCCCTTTGACGTAGAATCACCCGTGAAGAATTTTGACAGGAATTAATTTTAACCAGTAAAATCATCATTATCAGTTCTAATAATTAAAAAAACATACTTTTAACAATATGAACAACGAATATAAAATTATGAAACGCGGTTTAATACGACCAAAACAAATGGTAAATATCAATTAAGCTTTTCGTTTCAATTCGGGTAAAGTAAATTTTCGAATTAAAACGTTCCAAGCAAGGACACATAAAAAATGCCTTAAAAATTTGAGATTACTTTATTTTTTTTAAAGAGTAAAAATTATTGTTAACAACTCTTACAAAAAGGAAAAAAAAAATTCGACTAAGGATGTAGTTATTGTCTGAAACATGGATGAAGATTATGTACTGCGAGATCATATAAATTAATGAAATGTTACCATCTTCTATCTCCAAAATCTTCTTAGGTATCTATCTTACCTCTCAGCTATTTTTACAGTAAAATAACTGATGAATTATCGATATATTTTTAATTTTTGTATTAATTTATAGTTTTGAAGTGGATCCTACTATACGGCACACTTTCATGACTGTTATGATTGGGGGATATTTCACTTGGATTGGAAACTATGCTGCCAGTCAATCAATGGTTCAGAGATATTTAACAGTAAAAAGTCTCCGTGATGCGCAATTGTAAGAACCACTCCCTAAGTATTATAGTTGTGCGTAGTAAATAGCAGTGTGTAAAGATGCCTACATATAAAATTTATTATAAATATTTCTTCTTTAAAGTTAACGTAGATTTTATATATTAAGACAGTTCCTTCATTTTTGGGTCCTTTTTTGCAGAAATTTTCTGGAAAAATATGACTCCCGAATTAGGAAAATAAAAAATTATTCCTCTAAGTTTCAGGTAGCTGAAATCTACCAAGCTCAAAAATTGGAATCCTTAAAAATATTTGTAGAACTTTACTATCAAGAGATTGGTTTAAGGTCGAACTTTAAAATTGTTATTTTGAAGTTGATGCAACTTTAACACAAGGCGGTAGGGAGCATAAAATTTTTGCTCAAATTTTACTACTCAATCGTCTGTNTATTTTAACTTATTTAAATTAATACTAGTATTCTGTTTTGAATTACTCAGTGGGATAATTATTTGCATACACATGAAATTAAAAAGGAAGTCCTGAGACTCTTTTAAACTTTCAATTTCTATGGACGTTGGTAAGATTTAACGTTTTTTTTCTTCCAACGCCCACTTGACAATTCGTCAATTCAGGAGCATAAGGGCAGATTTGTTGGCAACTCTTTCGGGGGCACCATAATAGGCAGGCTGACGTTACTGCCACAGTAAGGACAGATGGTACAGAGAATGAAAGAACATCAATGCTTTGTCCGGGATTCGAATTCAGAACCTTTCTGATAATTAATGTTTAATAGACTTTTCAGCTTGTACTTTTTACCAAATATGGGGTAATAAGAAAATAATCTTGAAAATCAAAAATTTCGGACAACCATTACCGTATGAACGGAAGAATTACGAAATTAAAAGTTTAAATAAAAAATGTAACTGGACATGTCGTTACTAAAATGTACGACAGTTTTACCAGAATTACCGCGAACATTTTTGAAAATATTTGTTTGCTCAAGTGCCAAAATTAAGAATAGTAGCCAGAGGTTTAAAAAATAACTAAAAGAAAATAATGAAACATCTTTATTTTATACTAGTTGAATACCCGTTTCTCATGCGGGGTGAAAAAATAGAGTTCATAAAGTCAGTACTGGGTAACACTGTAAAATAATGAACAGAACTAAGACGAATACAGACACAAATAATAAAGATAAAATAATTCCAAAGTCTTTTTTTATTGAGTATTATTTGTTGACCTTATCAGTCGTTTTACGTTGTTAAGTTAAGAAAAACACGTATTTATTCTTTCATTCCATCAAAATAAAGTTTAACTGCTTTCGGTATCATTTCGCATCATGCTGTTGCTCTAGGCAATTAATGACATTTAAAATTTACCACAATCAAGCCTCTGTCTCCTATTCTAATGCATTCGAGGGGCCTTAAAAAATATATCTTTAGTATCTATCATAAAAATGTATAGCATCGATGCAGCTGAAATAAAACAAAATTTGCTTATACAATGCTTTGTACCTATATAAGAGTATATTTGATAGATATCAAAACCGCATCAATTTCCATAGTACTGAGGGAAATTATAATTATCGCCTATGTCAACCTTCATCTATTAAAAGGTACCTCCGATAAAATCAAGTTAACATGTCTTATATGCTAGTGAATTGGTATTTAATATTTATAGTGGTAGTTACACCACATTACTCCCCTTCCAAAATTTTATCTGTGATAGAATTCGATGAACGGATACCACTAGTTGATTCATATTGTTTAATTTCTTCTCCTTTTTTTATTTATTTCATTTTGCTCATTATATTATTTCTCCATTCTATTTATAGCATTTTGCTTATTATTTCTTTTTTTTCCCTTTCAATTTTTTGTTTATTGACCGGGAGACTTTATTTACTTCACCGGATTTTTTTAGCAGTATATTTTTAAGTAAATCAACTGTTAAATGTGGATCATCCATCAATATTGGTAAGTTCTTATCACGTCCGGGTCACCATTGAGGCAAATTATAATTATCGACTATGTCAACCTTCATCTATTAAAAGGTAACTCCGATAGAATCAAGTTAACATGTCTTATATACTAGTGAATAGGTATTTAATATTTATAGTGGTAGTTACACCACAGTACCTATCACCAAAATAAAGCATCAGGGATGCCAATAATAGTATGATGTCTTCTTAAGGTTCTGCATAACAAATGAATACATTTTTAAAATTAATTTCACTTTTTAGTTCGTAGCTTATTTTATCATTTCAATTAGTATTTATTAACAAAATTAATTAACCATCATTGATGTCAAAAATTGGTTGTTGATATTTTGCGTGCTCTTAGAAGAATTAATACCATTTCTCCGTTAATTTTGCCTCTTAGTACTTTATTTGTTATTTTACTTCAATTTGTAAATATTACCAAAATTAATTACCATCGGCGTCAATAATATTATTGGCGTTTTCTTTTACGTTTATCTCAACGAATCGTTACCATTTCTACATTAATTTTGATTTTTAGTGCAAAACTTATTTTTTAGTAATTGGTTAAAAATTCAGAAGCAGCAAAATTTAGTCACTTTATTTAGTTTCTTTTCAGATGATGTACATGCCCATCGTTTTATATGCGCCCGCTTTAGCTCTAGCTGAAGGTAAGTAAAGAGTTCATTTTTAATTAAATTTAAAAAAAATTCAAATAAAAGGAGGGAAAGCACTAACTTGGAAACTTAATTCTTTTCTCCAGCTGTTTAAACGCTACAAATTTGAAATATTTAAAGCAATATTTTATTTAAAAACATGCTTTCTTTCATTTTTTTTTAAAAAACAAAAATTGTGATTGACAGGAATTGACCATATCTTGAATTTTCTTTATTCAAATCTTGTTTTAACGCAGCAAATATTTGATTTTTGAATCTTCTGTATATTTTTAAATCTTATTTTTAAAATTTCAAAATTTTGTGTAAAAATTGACATTTTATATTTTAAATAATATTTAACGATATCACCAATTTTGTTACTATAATTTCCTCGAGCCTTGAGATCTCTCTTTTGAAATAAATAGCTTTGATTAAAAGATTAATAAAAATTTAAAAGCGTAATAAAAATGTTAAATGTAGATGTAATTAAATGTAATGACATTACAATCCCAGTTAAGTGTGTTTATTATTCCTGAAAACAAAAAGATTCTTCCAAAAGAATTCCTCTCGTTTTTATTTTAAAATAATCATAATACAAAATAAGCTTTTATTAATATGTTAATTATGATTTCAGTAGAACAAAAATATGTAAAATGCAAAAAAATATTTTTAAGAAAAATGATGTATATATAAAGTAATATTTTTAAGTTGTTAAGTTGTTTTTTGTTCATTTTTTAATATATATGATTATAGGAATGTTATTGTACACAAGATTGCACCTAAAAGTTATGATTTCCTGTTTGTACTAATTCCAGATATTTTTAGTAACATATGTTACATTTAAAATAAGTATTAACAATTTAAGTTTTAACATTAAATTGAAAATTTTTATTTCAGTAACTGGCATCAAAATTTGGACCGCAATTTTTTCTACGGGACTGGTTTGCACATTTTATACTTGCATAGTAAGTATTTAGTTGAAATAAAAATTGAAAACTTGAGTTTCTTAATTTATGAATTGAAAGTTTTAATAATAAGAATTTTTTGAAAGAGTGGAGGTGTATTCACTTGCTTTAATTGTGCTTGCTATAGGGTGGTGTAAAGGCTGTAGTCTGGACTGATTGTTTGCAATCTATTATTATGTACGGAGTGGTCCTAATGGTCGTCATAAAAGGTGCAATAGATTTGGGTGGATTCGATGTGGTTTGGCAACGTGGTTTAGCCAGTGGCAGAATTGAATTTTTCAAGTAAGTTTTTCTTTCTTAAAAATTAAGCTCGTTTTAGGAACAGAATAATGCAAGTAATTTGATGATTCGGTAATTTCTTATCCTTATATATGATATTTGTACAATATTTGTACAACCTTGATAGACACCCAACTGGTCTTGATTTTTTAGAAAGCACGTATTATTTTATTTTCCCATCTTGACGACTTCAGTCCTATTATGGGCAAATTTTTAACATAACAAAAATTATTGGTCACCATAAAAAATCTTTAACAACCATCCTCCTGCCAAAAAATCTTGTAATTATTATTGGTTTAGATGTGATTTTGATTGATGAATTTGCAATCAACAATAACTAATGTTCTGAATTATTGTAAAATAGGAAATTGAATATTTTTTAAACTGAAAATTGAATAATTTCACATCTTAGGGTAATTCAATACAAAGCAAATTCCAAAGATTTGTACCGCCTATGACATACAATATTAAATAAAGTATTTCTCAAAAATATATTTCATAAATGCGCATCTAAGTCTTAAATATCTTTGTATCAAATCTGTATGCATAAAAATAATTTAATCCTTAATCAGAAAGAAACCTATTTTAAAAATATTATTTATAGTGTCCCTTTGAGGTAGAATCACCCAGCAAAGAATTTCAGTTTCAAACTGTAAAATCATCATTATCAGTTCTAATAATTAAGAAAACATACTTTTAACAATATGAACAATGAATGAAATGGGGTTTAATACGACCAAAAGAAATGGTAAATATCATGTAAATTTTACTTTTCAATTCGTGTAAAGTAATTTTTCGGTTTTAAACGTTCCAAACGAGGAAGCATCAAAAATGCCTTAAAATTTTTAGATTACTTTATTTTTTTAAAGAGTAAAAATTATTGTTAACAACTCCTACAAAAAAGAATTTTTTTTTTCTACAAGGAATGTAATTATGGCCTGTAACATGGCTGAAGCTTATGCATTGTGAGATTAAACAAATTAATGAAATGTTACCCTCTTCTATCTCCAAAATCTTCTTAGCTATCTATCTTACCTCTCAGCTATTTTTACAGTAAAATAACTGATGAATTATCGATATAATTTTTAATTTTTGTATTAATTTATAGTTTTGAAGTGGATCCTACTATACGGCACACTTTCATGACTGTTATGATTGGGGGATATTTCACTTGGATTGGAAACTATGCTGCCAGTCAATCAATGGTTCAGAGATATTTAACAGTAAAAAGTCTCCGTGATGCGCAATTGTAAGAACCACTCCCTAAGTATTATAGTTGTGCGTAGTAAATAGCAGTGTGTAAAGATGCCTACATATAAAATTTATTATAAATATTTCTTCTTTAAAGTTAACGTAGATTTTATATATTAAGACAGTTCCTTCATTTTTGGGTCCTTTTTTGCAGAAATTTTCTGGAAAAATATGACTCCCGAATTAGGAAAATAAAAAATTATTCCTCTAAGTTTCAGGTAGCTGAAATCTACCAAGCTCAAAAATTGGAATCCTTAAAAATATTTGTAGAACTTTACTATCAAGAGATTGGTTTAAGGTCGAACTTTAAAATTGTTATTTTGAAGTTGATGCAACTTTAACACAAGGCGGTAGGGAGCATAAAATTTTTGCTCAAATTTTACTACTCAATCGTCTGTACTGCAAAAAAGGGTTTCTCAAAATTGAGCAAAAATGCATCAAAATTCTCAGAAAAATATAATAGTCGTGTTTGAAAACCTCATGATTTCAAAATTGAGACAGCATATATTCATTTTTGAACAAAAAATATGCGGAGGGAGAAATGTGTGAGAGAGTTGTTCGTTGACTGCAAAGGATTCAAACCATGGATCCCCATATTGGTTGCAGGATGCTCTAAACATCATAGTTGTACACCCCAATCCAGAAAGAGTTAGGAAGCTTTATATTGTGGCCCCCAACATGACTTATCGTGACATAATTGTTTCAAATTATGATGATACTAAGAGTTGCAGTTTGGGAAATATGGTTCCTATAGTTTAGTCAGGTGATCGGTAATTATAATTTAAATTTTTGCTTTTTTCTCTTTATCTTAAAAAATTTCAAGCGAATGGACTGTATGTCATGATTGGCTGTGCCGGCGTCCAATATACAACTCTCTCTGACCTGGGGTGTTAAACAGTGATGGTTAAAGGATCCTGCCAGGAACCCGGAGGCATATGATTCGTCTCCTGATGGCTGCCATCAGGATACGAGTCATACTCTGCGAGTCAAACATTTTAAGTAAAGGATCATATGTTTAGAGGTCTAAATAAACTTTATATTTGGAAAGTTTATAGAAATTATGAGCTTACATTAATTATTATATAATGATAATATAATAATGAAAATGTTAAATATAATAAATATAATATATTATATGAAAATATTAAATAAATAACAATATAACGAAAATGTTTCAGCCAGATAATTTTAGATAACTTTATTTTTGTAAATGTGTGTCAAAATTTTTTATTAACGACTTTTTTTTTGTGTTTTTGAAATCTTTTTTAGATGCGTTTGGCTCAATTTACCAGCTGTAATTATACTTAATATTTTAACTGGCTTTGCTGGTTTAGTTATTTATGCTTACTATTGGCAGTGTGATCCGATTGGAACAAAATTAATCCAAGCTCCTGATCAGGTAAGTATTTTAAGAAAAGCACTATTTATTATTTTGTTTAATTATTTTAATGAGTCGCTAAATATGAGAATCTAGTTTCTACTTCTACATTTTTCAGCTCTTTCCCAGATTTGTTATGGAAACATTTGGAAAGTTTCAAGGACTCCCAGGGTTGTTTGTAGCTGGCGTTTACAGTGGAGCTGTCAGGTAAACAATAACATTTAACTGTTCATCATTGTAAGGGAAGATTAGAAACTGAGAAATGAGAGGAAAATCTGTTGAACTTTGATCAATAATACTTGTATCTCCAATTAAAACATATAGTTCATGTTTGCCTCAACTTTAAATTAAGAATAAGGCTGAAATGACAGATAAGAACAGGTACACGGTAATATCGTGGTTAAATTTTTGCGGCAGTTTCACACGATATTATAAGTTAATGAACTCAATTGTTTTTAAAAGTTGTGATGTATTGCATGTGAAAATAAGAGATCATCTTACTTAGGAAGTTGTCGTATTCTTTATTTTTGTTGAAACTACCAGTCATATTTGTTTTAGCAGCCAACAGCAGACAATATGATACCTGCTAACTCTTCTGGATTTTCAGGAAGATTTAATTTTACAATTAATCTGGAAGCCATTTCTATGACCTTCAACTCGATTCTGGAATTAATACATTTACTTAAAATGACCTTGATTAACGTTACGTTTAAATAATTTAAACATACGTAATGAAGATCTACTACTCATCGTTACGAGTTTCAATTAAGAGGGCAAAATATAAATGAAAAGTGTGCTTACAATATTGTACCAATTTTAAATTTTATTATAAAAAATGAAAGACTCATGTGTACCATAATAAATTAATTAATTTATTAAATTGAGAAAAAGGGGATGTTGTGATTAAAATATATACAGAGAAATAGGTTATAAAATTTGATAGAGGTATTCAGTCGATAATGTTTAAAACAATCAAAGAAATTAAAAGTGATTAATTAAATAATGAATTTTGATAATAATTTTGGATCATCATTAATTGATGGAAAGAAAGGTCAAAAGTGATCGAAAATAGTGGAGGGGAAACATTGCGAAAGTGCCACTGGAATTAACCCAACAGCAAGGGTTCGTGGTCAAGATAAAGTTAAAGGACGACTGAATAACATCTATAAAATTATACACAACAGTAAATAAGTTGTAACTACCCTCTAGTCAAATAAATACAAATAAGGATTTGAGTCACTCACCTCGATGGACAATCATGAAGACATCATTGAGTTGTCTTGGAATTAAAAGAACCAAACGTCGAAAGAAGGGAACAGGAAGACTGCATTTTTTTTGTTCACATTGTTTTTTATTTTATATTATTACCTTTTATTTTACAGGGGACAAACAAATACCCTGAGTGGGGAGGGATGTAATTAAACAATTTTGGGAAGGAATTGGCCAAAAGTGATCGAAAATAGAGGAGGGAAACATTGCTAAAGTGCCACGTGAATTAACCTAACAGCAAGGGCTCGTGGTCAAGGTAAAGGACGACTGAATAACATCTATAAAATTTTACGTTTGTGCAAATAAACGCTGGTCAGAAAAAGGAAACATGAGAATGTTACTCACCACATATTATTTACATCATGGAGACAGGTCCACCATCGGACATTTGAAGTGATGGATACCAAATAAAAATACAGTGAAAAGAAGCATCGTTCACAAATTCATCTTTAATTGTTCATTATTTTACAATAGTACCAGTTTTTTGAATGGGATGGGTGGTCTGTCACACACAAATATTTCAGGCATCGCAAAAGAAGAAAAAACTTATAGCCAAGGAATCACAAAAAAAAAAAAAAAAATGGCGGCACTTGCTAAAAAAGATTAACATTACAGGTGGATTCGGCATAGCTCGCTGACCTAGGCCAGCTCACCAGTCGAAACCAAAGCAAAACGGAGCACCAGAGGAGAAGTGTCCTTGGTGGTACCAAAAACGATAATAAAGGCGTCCCCTTAAGCGCGGGAAAATACAAGTTATCTAGGAGGAGGAGAGGACGACTGTGATTGGACGGGGGGATCACAGGACGGGTAAGCAAAACCAATCAATGTAAATGAGTACTCCCACATCATACCAAATATGGTGCCAAAGGGAAAAAGTCCCCAAGAAGGCGTGAACACACCAATTCTTGGAAATTCGAAAAAAACCCGGCTGGAACCAGAATCACCATGTGCAAAACTGAAGGTTACATGAAAGTGATGGGAAAAGAAGTTAAGTGGTGACGTAAATTTAGAAAGTGAGGGAAAAGAATGTCGTCCTTGAGAAGGACAGTGGGGTCAGACGTCCTTGAATAGCAAAAAGTGAAAAAAGATGACACAAAAAATGTGTTGCTAACGTAAAAGTAAAAGAAACATTTCCAATTCTCTTCACAGAAAAAAATAGGGGTAAAAAATGAAAAGAGAAATAAAATAGGAAAAGTACAAATACTATCAACTATGAAAGATTAAATTAAATTTAAATTATTGACATAAAAAATCGTCACACAACACTGTGACAAATATCTATTCTGATTTCATTTTGCTATCACTAGCTTCTTTGAAGAGCGTAAAAGTTGGCAGGCATGCAATACTAACTTCTGCGGTAAATGTCAGGTAATATTAATGACGAGTAATGCAGATTAATTATTATATAATTATGAAAGGTAATGACAGGTACTATTAATTGTTGCACACATTAGAAGGTTATATTCAGAGTAATACTCGCAATTCACAATTCCAGAAGTTCAGGGGTAAAAGCAAGTTGGTTTCCTTCAGATTCTAAAAAGCATATGTTTCAATCCAGCATATTTTTTTAAAAACAGTTCGAAGTTCTCTTCCCTTGCTATGGACTATCAGGAAAGCAACCAACGGTCTGAAAAAAGAAAGAAGATAAAGTTAAAAAACAACTACTCAAAATGACGAGTATCATAAAGGGTAAACTGAATAAAACTCAATGTAAACAAAGTGCAGTTGGCCAAGTAAGCCAGTTGATTGTAACTTTTGTAGATGCGTGGAACTGATTACGCCGTATATCTTAAAATACGATGAGCTATTATGTACGATTGTATTCCTTATCTTCAAGAACCACTTTAAATTTCTGCAATTTCATAATTATATATATATATATATATATATATAAAAANATTTCCAAACTCTAAGCATATTCTGAAATATTAGTATTAAGCTTCCTTAAAACTTGTAATACTTATTTTAATGTACAATTTGAACAGGCTGCAGTTTCTGTAAAGTTAAACGTTTCGGATTTTTTTTTATCCAATATCCAAGCTAAAGAAAAGGATTGCTTAAATATGATTGTTTTCATGGAATTCTGGAATCAAAGTTAATGCAATCTCAAATATATACTTACCAGTTTACAAATTAGCTTATTACCCAACAGAAACGATTTCTACATTTTCTGTTGCTCGAAATGGTACCAAACCGTTAATTTTACCCCAAATTAATTACCAAATAGTCAGTAAAAATGTTGAAAAAAACTGAGTTAGTAACTGAAAAACCTTTGTTCACACCTTTTTTTAAAACATTTTTATATATTTGAAATATTAAAATGCTGATGGGAAATTCTGAGAGAGAAAATGTTATTTTTTTACATGTATGAGTAATGCAACAGTGTATTTAACAATGTATGTGTATTTTCACTTATGTAACATGCTATAGGTGGTTTATTACTGCGTATGATTTCGCATTGATAAAAAATTATTAATAATAAAAATATATCTTACTTTTATTTATCTATCCAATATTTATAGCACGATGGCAACTGGTATGAACTCGTTAGCAGCTACTGTCTTAGAGGATTTTATAAAAATTTATATTGGTAAAAATATGTCAGAAAGAACTGCTACTAGAGTAGGGAAAATACTAAGTAAGCATTTTAATAGGCTTTATACCTGCACTAGATAGTATACTGGTTATCATAAAGGAAGGAAAAATTACAAAAATGGCGACAAATTTTCCTAATGTAAGTCAATCACAATAAAACTTAAGATTGTTGTCAAATAAGAGTTGCTAACTAAAACTGCAATATGTAAATTAGTAGCGCAGCAATTGAATGACGTTATGTGCAGAGAGCATAAAATTGCATGTTTGATCGCAAGCTTGTAAATTTTGCTATGTTTCAGAAATGAGAAATTTCAGCTAGGCAATTTGTGACAATGACATCCGGGCATCATTTGTTTGAGGAACTGCGTTGGAGATCTATTGAAAGACTAGCAACAAGGCAAAGTAAAGCTAAGGTGGCTAAATCTAAGTCCTTCTGTGGTTCACAGACTTTGGCAACAATTTCTAATCGCAGGTTTGGCATCCAGAAGGTTCAGTCAAGGACAGCTAAATGCTTCGACAAGAGCAAATGACCGATATTTATCCAACCAACCATTTTCTTGCCTCTTTCGTCATGCCATAGGAAAGAACGTTTGATATGGGCATAGTAAAATGTCCACTGAACGGCTGTCCAAAGGAGGGTTGTTCTCTTCAAATATGAGTTCAGGTTTAGCTTCCAAACCGATGCTAGGCGTTGTTTGATTTGAAGAGAACATGGAACCTGATATCATCCATCAAACATCCGTAAAAGAGCTGTGTGTGGTTTGGATGCAAAGACCTGTGGGTGGACGCACAGACGTTCGACGTGGAACGGTCAATGCTGAAACTGCTTTGCAGAAAGAATGGCCCACACTTCCAACTAAACTAGTAGATCACATACAGCGAAGAGCCATTACATTATGACCACCCTCCATCTATAACAATGGGCTCGCCCTGGTTTTCATGGTTGCTCGCCCAGAAACAATGTCTTCATGGGGGCACATTAGGACCTATAATCCTCATAGAACAATCCCTGACGTCCGTAAGCTACTTGAACATAGTTGCAGACCAGGTTCACCCATTCATGGCAGCAGTTTTTTTCTGCGGGGGATAGTGTTCACGAACAGGATAATGCACCATGTCATAAGGGTCGAATCGTCGAGGAACATTCTAGTGACTTTCATGTCATGTCTTGGCCCCCAAATTCACCTAACCTTAATCCAATTGAGCATTAGTGGTCCAACTTGGAAAACCAAATTTCAATGTGAGGGAATTGCAGAACCAGTTGGTGAGCGCTTGGTACCAGATACCTCAGATTACCTATCAGCACCTTGTGGAATCAATGCCACGGCGGTTGCTAGCAGTTTTGAGGGCTAAAGGTGGCCCTACATATTATTAGCAGGGTGGTCATAATGTAATGGCTCTTCGGTGTAAGTGAAAGCATCACACATGTGCTGTATTGCTGGTAGAAATGATCATACTTCATACTGAAGGTACTTTTTCTATTCCGAACTGACACATCTGATTTATTCATTTCATACATATGCTAATTCCTGTGACATCACAATTGTCTGGTTAATATTTTTCTGCCTTTTTGATACATTATTATTTGCACATTATTGTGTGCTAGTTTCATTAAATTTCTTTAGTTAAAGTCCTTTTTATGATTTTTCTTTAATTTATGATAGCCAGTGCATTCACAAAGTTTTATTTGCTTTCAATTTAACATAATTTTTCAATATTTACAAAATTGTTACAAGTTAAAAAATGTATTATCTAGTTTTTTAATGGGATAACATTCTTCTGAAACGTATCTTTTATATAAATGATAAAGAAACACCTCACTTGGTACTTTTTACTTGAGGGGGATATTTATGACAGTCACGTTGGTTTCGTACCACTTTTTAAAATTGAAGGAAATGTTATAAATTTAAACGTTATTATCAACGCAACACGAAACTTTTTTTAACAATATATGATTAACTGGAGAAGTAACAATGACGTAAAACAGAATGTTATGCTTATTTTTGCTTTTAAATATTTTAAACTATGATAATAAGATAAACCAAAAGGTTAGGCCTCTCCAAAATTCGAATGTATGCAAGTTTTCTGAATTTCCTTTAATAAGCACAATAAAATAAGATATCTTTAATTATATGGCGTAGTTAAATTAGCGAAAGCCATTTAATAAAGAGCAAGAAAACACTGAAAAAAAAAGAGTTTCATAAAGTTGAGAAAAAATAAGTCAAAATGGCTCCGAAACTAATAATAGTATAATTTGAAAACCTTATATATTCAGCTTTGAAGCATCATTTTGTGTACTATGCATAGCCTTAAAAATTATGTCGAGCGAGAAATGCTTGGGGGAGGGGGAGATGTTCGTTGGCTTACAGTAGGATTTGAATAAGGACCTCTGGATTCGTAGCAGGAGATAATTGTACACTGTAGTTGTACACTCCAGATCAGAGAGAGTTAGGAAGTTTTATATAGTGGCCGCTGCAATGACGCATCATAGCATGCTAATTTCCTACTTCAATGGTAAAAAGGGTTGTAATTTGGAAAATATGACCCCAAAAAGTTTAGTCAGAAGATCAGTAATTAAAATTTAATCATTTTAAGGATATCTTAGTAAAAGAATATTTATAAGATGCATAGATTAAACATGAGTATGAAATTTTATAAAAAATAATACATTCTTGATCTAGTTTTAGATGAATAGCTTCTCTTACTACTTTATTTTCCCCGTAAAAAAATAAATTATTAAGTTATTTCGAATGATTTCTATTTCTACTTATTGCTTACAATTCCTCCTCCTTCGATAATTTTTTAAATCTACTTAAATTATTTAAGAAAATAAGGATTTGACAAAAAAAAAACATTCAGAAAATTGTAGAATAAAATATTGAATAAAATACAATTTGTAAATTTTTTTTTGATATTTTAGGTTTGAGTTTCGGGCTTTTGACCATTGCTTTCACTTTTGTTGTACACAAAGTGACCAGTATTCTACAAGTAAGATAAAATTTAACAATTCTATACAGTTACATCACGCTATAATTAAGTATACAAAAGAAGTTATTTTTAAATATTTTTCTACAATAAGCATTTATTGAAAATTTTTTGCAAAATTAAAATATGGTGAGATAGGGATTTCAAGTAAAACTCGAATCAAATAGAATTAGTTGGAAGCAATTTTTGAAAAAAAAATTCCAATAGTAACTAGTAAAATACAAGATAACAAATGAATTGAAGATACATTTAATATTAAGTATTTTATAAAAGCCACATAATTTGCCTAAATGAAAACAAATCTTCAAATGTTTAGGAGAAACTTGCAAAGAAAGAAAAAACTTTTCAATTCTTGTAAGAAAATTCATCGGAGACATATTTTCACGCATTCTGATATTGTTTGATTGTTTTGTTTTAATTAAATATGTTATTTTTTGAAAGTTTTTATAGAAATGTTTGGTTATTTATTTAAATCGACTTTATAGCTCATCTTGGTCCAACCCAAAAAGCAAATAATTTAGGGTTTTATCTTTAACTCTCACTTTGTGAAGCCAATCAGACGATTTCGTCTCTGTTTGAGCTAGTGCCTTTTTGTTAATTTTTTTACCAGAACAATAAGAGGGTATATAAATGTATAGAGTCACACAGTACTTATACGTTTCAAAAGCGAATCAAAAAATTGAAACCATGACAAACAGCTTTCATCCTAAAATGTGAAAAGAAAAACACTTTTTGTATGGAACACAGAAAAACACACTGGATATATGTCATTCCATTCTGTTCGATATATTGATTCGAAAAATACAGTTTTTATAGTGTTGAAATTATATAAAAATATAATAATACAGAAGATTTTTATTTCTCTCTTAGTTAAATTATTTAAATTTGCATAATTGTTTAAATATTCTGTAGAAATTATTTGTTGGAATGTTAACAATTCCATGTATTTTTTTTTAATAAATTTCTGTTGGAATAACAAACGGCAATTTAAATTGATGTAAGAAGCGAGAATAAAGAGCGGAAAATCCTCATGATTTAGAGAAAAGAGTATGTATATGTGGTGTCCGCAGTGGGAGTTAAACTTCCAATAGCTTAAGTAATTTCAAAAGACGTAAGCTACAGTTAATACACGAAGATTTTCCACTACTTTCTCATTCCTCACTCATTATCTCACACTTTTCATGAGCGATATTCAATCGCAATAGTTTTTATATAAGTGACTGAAATGAAAGTGAGCAATCACCAGTTACCTAATTTTCACAAATTAAGGAATAATGTGAGTAGAATAACTTAAATGAATGCTTCTCATTGCTTTTCAAATTTAGATTTAAAATTACTTTTTATAACTATTGCTTATAATTTAGCTATTAGTTGTTATAATTGGTTATTTATTTAATTTATCCTAATTTTTTTCTAGGCTGCTATGCTTGTGCACGGAATTGTGGGAGGACCAATGTTGGGAATTTTTACATTAGGAATGTTTTTCCCATTCGTAAATGCATGGGTAAATGTTGACTGCTCTACAAATATTTATAACCTATTTTACATTTTAAAAAACTGTTCAAACTATTAACTATTTAAACTTTTCGCATTAACGTAGTCTGCTTACCGATAAAGTAGTTAACCTGAAGATAATTCTTAGCTTATATTATAGTTACCTTATAAATATAGATATTATATCCTAATTATAGTTTTATAGTAGTCTAGGAAAAAAAGTCGAAAGGAAATTTCTATATGAAACAACATTTGACATTATATTGAGATACTTTTTTATTTTATTGACCATACAGAGTTTTTAAGAAAAAGGCAAGGTTGAATTGGTACTTCTGCGGGAATGGGATACCAGACTTGAAGAACTTATTAGTGAAGTGCTCAAATTTTTTAATCTGTGAAAGAAAGACCCAGCTAAACCTATCAATCATATCAAGATTAAATCAAAATTAATTTAGATCAAGTTAAAGAAATGTTTAACTATAGCTATGAACATTGTAAAACTTACTTTGTAACACATCCTGCATTTAGAGAATAAAAGACAATTTTTCCACTTTTCCAGCCGAAAAATTAAAGCATTCCTTCAACCCCCCTTTCATGAGCACAGGGTGTAATGGATGTTAAGGTTCTACATTATCATGACAATGATGGCAATAGGCAATGGAATACGAGACTTGCAGCACTTATTAGTAATGAGCCTACATTTTCTAATCTGTGGAGAAAACATCTATCTAAACCTAATTAATGCAGATTATATCACGATTAATCAAGAATTATCAAAATTAATGGATGTTAAGGTTCTACAATTTCATGACAATGATGGTAATGGGGTTATGACAAAGATGGCAATAGGCAATGGAACACGAGACTTGCAGCACTCATTAGTGCAGCACATTTTCTAATTAGAGGAAGAAACGTCTAGCTAAACCTACTAGTGTAGATTATATCAACATTAAATCAAAATTAATCTAGATTAAACCAAAGAAATGTAGAGCTACAGTTATGGATAGTGTAAAGCTTACTTTAGAAAGCATCCTGCATTTAGAGATATAAAGACATTTTTTCCACTTTTCCCGTTGGAAATTAAAGCATTCCCTCAACAGTCCATCGTAAGGGCTGGGAGTAGTGGATGTTAAAGTACTGCAATTTCAAGAAAATGGTAACAACGGGGTTAGCGTTGCGATCTAGCCGGCAGAACTTATCCGACCCATCGATCGGAAGTTGGGTGCTCTTCAAGCCGCCAATAGGAATCGAACCTTATGACAGCTCAGGAAGAAACATTAGTATTTGAAAGCTTATTTCGACAAATAAGTTTGAACTTTCAAATTAACTTATTTAGACGTTTAATTATAGTAAATTTTGATCACTGAATCATCGTGGTTCCGAGTGGCGTGGTAATTTTAACCTCAGTATGGCCCGTGGACCATAACAAGGTAAATTTTTTTTTGCAAAAAATTTTGTTTCTTAATGAAATTATTTAATAATTATATTGAACAACAAAAAGCATTGCGGTTTTCTTTTTAAATATTCATGTAGTTTTTTAATATAAATATTTTTTCTCTTTTATTAACATGACAATGCTGTTAAAAACACTTAAGTAAAATAAAAAACATAGAATGCGTAACATATAATGCATTAATTCTGAATTTAATTTGAAATTGCGTAAATGAGTTTCTGCATCAGAGTATGACTCTAATATAACTTAATACTTCAAAACGGTTTCAAACTTATTATTATAAAACATTTGACATGTTTTTTCTTTTTTTCTTTTTTTGGTAAGACCATTAATATTTTCTTTTTTTTTTATAGATTTTCAATTCATTTTCTACCTTTAAGAACGTAATACCTATAATTTTATTTATAAGGAAAAAAATAGTTTACATTATTAATGGTTGCTGATAACGTATCTTCCTGTTAATGCCGGATGGTACTCATTGTTATTGTAGTAGGAAAAATATCATAAGTCTTTAGTTAAAATCAATAGCAGAATAGAAACAAAGCTGTAGTGGTTCAGGAGATACAGCACTTGCCTCCTAATGAGGTAACCCGGGCTCGAATCCCAGCGATGACTTTTCGATACGAATTCCGCACCCGGCTCGCAAAGACCACAGTGCTAATGTAAAATATTCTCAGTTCCTTTGTCGTTAGGCTAACAGAGGAGGGTTTTAGTGGTTTTCCTCTCCATTTGGTTTTGAGGTTAGTTCCATCATAAAGTCCTCCAAAAATCCATCAAAAGTAAAATTCTTTCAATACATGATCCAGGAGATGCATTGTCTTCTGGATTGGGTTCAAAATTACAAGGCTACGGAGTTGATCAATGGCAGTAGTAAATTCAAAAAATTGGTCCGATGTTCTACGACGGTTATGAAATTATAAAATAAAATTGCTTTCCTTTGCTTTGAATTATTTCGTTTGCACGGAATAAACGGTTTTAGTTTTATATTAAGGTTTAGGAAAAACGTGCTGATTTAAAGATATCTATTTAAAATACAACTAATAATTTTTTTCTCCCGATTTAGATACAATGCAATTTGAAAAGGTATGTGTAGAGAAGTTTAATTGAAAACAGGAAAGTTGTCGGTCAATTTTGGTTTAACTAACTTTATAACTTTGGTTCAACTTTGGTTAGGTTCAACTAAGTCTTACAATATACAACAATAAAATTTTTTTCTGTCGTAAGAGACCATTGACGGCTTAACAACAAGCTAATATTTTAACTTTCGCGTTTTACGTTCATCTTTTACGTAGCAGAGGACGGAGTATTATTATTTATCTAATTTAATGATCGTATTCTCCACTTAAATTGAAAATTCTCAAAGCACTTTAAAGTCTCTCAATCACGCATAACTAAAATAAAAATAAATATTAAAAATGTAATTATTTTTACTGATGATTCTTAAATGTTGAATTCTGAATTTTTGCCCTTGAAGGACATAATTCATTTTCCTTCGGATTAAGATAATTTCAAACCTGCTTATGTTTATGTGCACTAAAAAATATAGTACTGCTTATTTTTACTTGATTAAAAACTTCATTAGCTTCTAAAAATTGGAAATAACAGTAGACACGTTTCAAGCGCTCAAATACAATCACCCATTTTCAAGACTTGTTTCACGTCTTATTTCTGCGCGTCTGTTATTGAGTGCTTGAAAGTAGTAGATTGTTATTTCCAGTTTATATTTTTTGAAGCAAATGAAGCTTCTGATCAAGTAATATCTTACTCCTTCAATTTCTTTTAATTATTTATTTAATACCTATTTTATTTTAAGGGCGCAGGCATTGGTCTTCTAAGTGGTTTCGCAACGTCTATGTGGTTTGGTATTGGTCAGTTCCTCAATCCAGTATACATACCAGAAGATCCAGTGTCATATGAAGGTTGCCCAGATTTGTACTACAACATTACGGGAATTAATGCGACAAGTTATTCTCATTTTTCTCACCAAGAAAAAAACAAGTAACGGATATTTTCATGTATAGAATTTTTTGAATGTAGCGTAAAATTTTTTATTTCTTTCTAAATGAATCTTTGTGAAAAATGGTTTACATACATTTATTAGCTGAATATTTAATTCTATTTACAAATCTTGTGACATGTTAAAACAGAAAAAAAATCGTGTATACATTTAATCCTATTTTAAATGTGAGACAAATGATAGAACTTATATCTGCACTTACTAAAATTATTTTTTTTTCAGCGAGGATATAAGTTATGTTTTCCGGCTATCATATTTATACCTGTGTGTGATTGGATTTTGCACAGTTTTCGTCATTGGTTTACTTGTTAGTTTTATTACAGGTAAGGGATTTAGTCAAATGTTTTAGATATCATTAAAAATGTTGGAATTTTAAGAAAGTCCTTGATTCAAGGATCCATATTAAAAGGGTCGAGAATATATAAACTATAAAAATCATGAGCGTTTTTTTAATAATAACAAAAAATAAATGTATTTCACTATCTTTCGCTGAAAGGTGAAAAATTTGTATTCGTATCTCATTTAAAGAGTGAAATATGATTTGGTTTCATTTCCCCCCATGTTTTGAACTATAAATTATGCTAAAACTTTGAAAAATCTTTTTTATTTTCATGATAATTTTTCATGTTTTTTTCCAACTTTAAAACAATCTATAACAAATCCCATTAAAGAAAACTGCATGAATTTTGGAAAATGTATGTATAAAATGATTTACATTAATATGTCTTCATGCTAGGTGTAAACCAAAAATGGTTTATGCATATCACGTAGATAATTAAAGAAAAATTAAAATTTTAAAATTTTTTCTATTGTTTTTTTTTTCAAATTTTTTTAATGCTATAATTCTGAAGATAAATTATGTTATAAACATTTTTATTTAAAGTAAATACATACATTTTACTATTGAAAGAGAAAGTTTTTAGTTTTGAAGAAAAAAAATGGGCATGATTTTCTTATAACTTTAAATTTCAAATATTTTCAAGAAATGACTGTGAGAATTTTTATTTTTGAAATTATTCAGTATAAAAAAGAATTTAAAACAATGCATGCATTTCTCCAAAAGGAGGCCTGGTTCCCCTTCATATGGTTCAACACTTTTTTAATTTCATTTAATTTAGCCAAGGGAGCTTAATGAGAGCTTTTAGCTTAATTTAGCTATCAAAGATGATTGGAAAAGAGGAGAAAGCTGGAAATAAGTTTTTCATCATCTTCATTTAACATTCACAAATACACTGATGTTGAATATTTATTCTATTCTGTAGTTCCTTACGAAACATATCAAATACAACAGTGTCTCCCAAATAGAATTTGAGATTCTCTTTTGATTTTTAATGGCATTATCAGATCATTAGAATTCTGCAATCAGAGTTTTTTCATGGTTTAAAGGTTTCTAAGAAGCCGTGGTTGCACAAGGTATAGAGCATTCGCCTTCCAATAAGGTGAACCGGATCCGTACCCCAGCGATGGTTGGTCGCTACGAATCCCGCACCCGGCTCGCACCGACCACAGTGCAGACGTAAAAACATTCTCAGTTGTAGGCGGATCATGGATTAGAGTCCCCTTGCCGTCATGCCAACCGTGAGAGGTTTTCCTGGCTTTCCTCTCCATGTTATGCAAATGCGGATTAGTTGCATCAAGAAGTCTTCCACGATGGTAAAATTTCTCCCAATATTTGATCCTGGAGTTCCCTTGTCTTCTGGATTGGTTTCAAAATTACAAATCGACAGAGCTGAACATTAGTAATCGCAAACCCAAAATTGGGCCTGCTGTTCAACTATGGCTATGAAAAAAAAAGATTTATAAGTATTATACGATTATCTGTTTTTAAATTTTTAATAAATATGTTCGTTTCAGGGTATCTCATATTAAGAAATATTTTCAGCATCATCCAAATAGATCTTCATCATTTCAAAAAATAATCAAATTAAATTTCAATATATCGGAAAACAGCCAAATGTTCAGTGCGAAAATACTTAAAATTGGAAAGTGAATAATTTTATTGCTTTACATTTTTGAGATAAAATCCTTAAAAGTTTTACAAATTGTCAATAGTTATTTTTACTAATCAAATAAAACGATCCACTATTTTTGACAGGCATACTGATGTTCTGTCGAAAGAAGTTTTTTTTAAAGTAAATTAATAAATAAACAAATTCATTAAAATTGTAATATAAATTACAAAATAGGAAGATGCTTCTTAGCGCAGGTTAATATTCTATCTAAATGTATCAACAAAGTGTATGAACTAGTAAAAGTGTGGAGATTTTTAATCAGGATTATTTTTTAAACAAAAAACATGCAACGAATATGCTTTAAAAAATGGAAAAAATACTACAAAAATTTAACTACGTCTGTTTCATGTTTCTTACCATCATTACAATTTAAATTTGCAGTTGGGATATGATTCTATGCGATTAATATTACTTAGGGAATGTTTTTTTAAAATATAAATAAACAATTCGAAGGAATCTGAAGTTTCGATTTTATTTTTGTTCACAGGCTGCCAGAGAGGAAAACCCGTGGATGAAAGATTGATAACACCTTTAGCTGTTTGGTTTTATAAACACGTATTCAATGTTAAATTTGTGAAATCATCAGACAGTGGTTTAACTCACGTAAGAAAAGTTTTCATTTCTAAAAAAGTGCATCAAAATGAATAACATTTGAAAGCCCCATGTATTCAAAACTAAAGCAGCACTAAGCATTTTGAGCAAAATGCTTATAGTGATGCGTTGGAAGCAAATGTGTGAGATATTCGTTGGCTGCCGGTAGGATTCGAACAAAATATCTCGGGGTTCGTAGTACTATATTCTAACCGTCATAGTTGTACACTCAAGTCCAGGGGGAGTTCGGAAGCTTTATATAGTCACATTATGACCTATCGCTTAATAATTTTTAAGAAATAAACAATATGCGCAATTAAAATTTCAGATCATCTGACTAAGTTATTGGAGCTATAATTTCCACATTGCCATCCGTTGTACCATTGAAGGTGGCAATAAATATGTCAAAATGCGACATTACATCTATATAAAGCTTTCTAACTCTTCCTAGTTTAGGATGAATAACCATGGGTGTTAGAGCGTCTAACTGCGAATTTGGAGTCCTTATTGGTACGAATCTCGCCCGCAGTCTCTCTCTCACATATTTATAGCTTTACGACGCTTCTGAGATTATGCAGTTTGCTTAAAAAGGAGTTTATGCTGTTTCAATTCGAATACACGGGTTTTCAAATTCGACTATTATTTGTTTTGGAGATATTTCAGCACATTTTTTCTCAAGTATTTATTACAATGAAGAATTTTAAATTTATTTGCAACGCGTAAAATATGTTTATTTTGCCCCAAAATTTTGAAAATTTAAAAAAAGCATGATATTACTTTCATTGAACGTTTACAATTTCGATATTTTTTTTAAAGAACTTGGCAAATACCAACGTAACGATCATAATGAAACAAATCTTTAAAAAAGATTTTTGATGCTTTCATCGGAAATTTTATTTTTGCACGGATAAAACTGAAGTTTAATAAATTTGCATTTTTAGGAGATTGTTTTGTACACAAATACTTAGTTTTTACGTAGTATAAGATCCTCGACATATAATCCTCTTTGATGTACCGGATATCCCTTAAAATAATCGGCGATTTGTAAAAACGAAACAAAGAAGGGAGAGATTTGTTCAGTTTGTGTGTAATTTTCAAAGACAGGTTAATTCTAGAAAAATTTCCGAATCAGTTATAAGACTCGAAGGCAAATTTCTGTGTTATAATTGAAAAAATATACACACTTACAACTTTACCACCTTTACAATACTAGGACACCTTAGAGCAAATTTAAAAGACTCTTGTGATGCTATTTCAGTTCTAATGGTTTGACATTCCAGTCCGCATCTCCGTCTTGATTACTAAGTTTTAAATAATTTAAAGATTTGGAGAGATAATAAATTATCAGCAAAACGGAAAAAAACCGCTTATTTTTATGTACAGTTTGCAAAAAAAAAAAAAAAAAAAAAAAAAAAAAAAAAAAAAAAAAAAAAAAAAAAAAAAAAANAATAAATAAAATAAACAAATAAATAAATGGATCACTCATAATAACTTTTGATCTAATGATCGGGTCCTCACGTTCTAGAACTAAATCTTAATGGCTCGAAGGGTTCGAAATGGTTCTTCAAATATGCAAGTCATTAGTGCACACGATATTTTAAGTTACGAAATTAGACACAAAAACGCACTTTCTCTGTATAAACATGAGTTTTTTTGTTGTTGTCGGATTTGGATTTCTGACCCCCAAAATATAGGGGGTAGCTGCAATCTGAGAAAAATAGTTTCAACATTATTGTACTATTAAACTAAATTGAAATATAATTATTATGAGATATACCTCTTTCAAAAACTACAAAGGTATTTAAAATTATGAATATCGGATAGAATTACAATAATAATTAGATAAATGTTGTTCAAAGTTGTAGAATATGTCTCTACTATGAAGATTAATTAAGTGAGCTTTTATATTTTAATGAATTTTCTACGCCATAGTGACTAGAAACCGTGTTCTACATTTTAACCAAGTTCTGTTTATAATTTAGCATCGACTTATAAATTCTTATTGAATAATACAAGAGCGCAATTGTTTCAAAAAAATAATACAATGCAATTGTTTTAAAGTTTATCTCTTTAAATATAAAAAAACGTAAATTTTACTTATTTTTTGTAATTGAATTTTTAAATGGTGAGAAATTGAACGAAAAAGTAGACTTGATTTTGACACTTGTTGCTATCATTTATAGATCTTTAAAAATGCATTTACTTTTTGTTTGCAGGCAACTTCATTGCAGTCGATCAAAAAAGAAAATTTATGTGAAAGTATTGACACTCTGCCAAAAGAATCTAAACATTTTCAGAAAGTGGAATGAAAAATATGTGTTTCTTTTATTCTACTATAAGTATCATAGTTCATAGTATCTTGGGCATTAGTCAATAAATATACTTGCTAAGACGTCATTCCTAACACATGGAGAAAGAAAAATTTTAATTTTAATAATTAAATATTTTAAAATTTTAATTTTAAAATATTTAAATTTTAGTACTATTTGGTTAAGACATTTCTGGTAAAAAAAAACTATAATTCTGGTAATAAATAAAGGGTTTATAAACTATTCATTTGTTAATTTATATGGTAACGGTTTACCGGAAGTACTGGTTTTCAAAATAATCTTTGATAATCTTTGAAAAAATGATCTTAAGCTCTTATATTGTTTTTCTAAATGTGTGGTAAACCACGCATTTAGAAAAAAGAAATACAGAACTAAATAGACCAAATCATGATAAAACATTTAACCTCCTTTATGAAATTTTATCTCATATTATGAAACTGTAATATTTTATTGTTAATTTCACCGAACTCATTACAAAATCGCTTCGGTAAAATATATGGAGCCTTTTGGTGTTCCCATAGAGTCAGAAGTGCGGTCAATTATATCATATTCTGGTATTTTTTGCCATACTTTTCTTCTTCTTGCATTAACGCCTTCTGAAATTGAATGTTTGTTTCAACAGATCTGGTCTATTACAGCTGCATGTTAAATATTCGAAATAACATAAAGTAAATGATACAAATTTTAAACTTATAATATAAACTTATAATTTCTTTATATGCAATGAATATTATTATAATACTTCATTGAGGGTACATATTTTTACTATTAACCATACAACAATTGAAAAGCTGAATGGCTAAATTTTTAGTAACATTTTTGTGAATTTGAGAATACTTGTACTTTTATCTTTTGAAAACGGCAAAATCTAAAGTCAAATAGTATATAAATAAATGTTGTTAGTTAAATAGGACTAAAATAAGAAATATTTTTCATTAATTTTCTCAAAACTGCAATTTCAAACATGTGATATATTATTTATAAAAATGTTAAAATAAAACTAATAAAAATTTAGCTAAAACTGTTAATTATAGCTTTATAAATTTCAATCATAACGAATCTAAAAATTTTAAATACAGCATTTTAGTCTGTAACTTGATAATTTTTTTTTGGTGAAGTAATTATTAATTAGTAATTATTGTATTTTAAATTTATATATTCAAGTTATTATAAATTAATACATTTAAATTTTTAACTCCGTATTTTAATTGTCAATTCACACATTTTAAACATTACGTTGTTAGAATTAACTGATCTGTTATCAATTATCATACCTGTATAAAAACCTTGTTGAAAAATTAATTAGTATTATACTTTATTTTATGTTTTGAAACATTAATTTTTCTTGAACATTTTGCAAAATCCCATTCATTTATTGAATACAGCAAGAAATTTTTGTAACTTTATGTGTTTTTTAATTGTTTGTTTCTAATAATCTTTATTGTTAATGAATATTTCGTTGTTGGAAAGAATCACGGAAATTATACGTAATAAATAAAATTTTAATTTATTTGATCTGTTTTTTTAAAAATGTTTGGATTTATTCTCTACAGCTTTACGCGTNATTTCACCAAACTCATTACAAAATCGCTTCGGTAAAAAATATGGAGCTTTTTGGTGTTCCCATAGAGTCAGAAACACGGTCAATTATATCATATTCCGGTAGTTTTTGCCATACTTTTTTTTCTTCGTGCATTAACGCCTTCTGAAATTAAATGTTTGCTGCAACAGATCGGGTCTATTACAGCTGCATGTTAAATATTTGAAATAACATAAAGTAAATGATATAGATTTTTAACTTATAATATAAAATTATAATTTCTTTATATCCAGTGAATATTATTAGTATACTTCATTGAGGGTACACATATTTTTACTATTATTAAACCATGCAACAATTGAAAAGCTGAATGGCTAAATTTTTTTGTAACATTTCTCGTGAATTTGAGAATACTTGCACTTATATCATTTGAAAACTGCAAAACCTAAAGTCAAATAGCATATAAATAAATGTTGTTAGTTAAATAGGACTAAAATAAGAAATCTTTTCTATTAACGCTCCCAAAACTGTTATTTCAAACATGTGATATATTATTTATAAAAATGTTTAAAAAAACTAATAAAAATTTAGCTGAAACTGTTAATTATAGCTCTATAAATTTCAATCATAACGAATCTAAAAATTTTAAATACAGCATTTTAGTCTGTAACTTGATAATTTTTTTTTGGTGAAGTAATTATTAATTAGTAATTATTGTATTTTAAATTTATATATTCAAGTTATTATAAATTAATACATTTAAATTTTTAACTCCGTATTTTAATTGTCAATTCACACATTTTAAACATTACGTTGTTAGAATTAACTGATCTGTTATCAATTATCATACCTGTATAAAAACCTTGTTGAAAAATTAATTAGTATTATACTTTATTTTATGTCTTGAAACATTAATTTTTCTTGAACATTTTGCAGAATCCCATTTATTTATTGAATACAGCAAGAAATTTTTGTAACTTTATGTGTTTTTTAATTGTTTGTTTCTAATAATCTTTATTGTTAATGAATATTTCGTTGTTGGAAAGAATCACGGAAATTATACGTAATAAATAAAATTTTAATTTATTTGATCTGTTTTTTTAAAAATGTTTGGATTTATTCTCTACAGCTTTACGCGTAAAATCCGTGATGCTGCAACAGCTTCTATATGAGATAGAATAAATGAGTAAGTTTATATTTGCTGTGCCTTTTTGTTAGAGGAGTAGCTGTTATCACAGCATGAGAAAAAAATTATGTTAGTCGTACAAATTATGGTTAGGTTGTGCAAATGTATTTGTTGTATAATTACGCAATCTTTAGGAATTGGATAGTTACAGATTGTTTTTTTTTTTAAATAAGGAAATTAGATTATTTAGGTTTACTAGGTGTGACTGAAGAAATTTGGAGTAATTCGCTAAATAAACAAAAATTATTTAGAACGAGCTAATTCACAAATACTACAAAGCGATATAAATCTACCATTTAATTGTTCATTAGTTCAACACGAGAGGGCAGCACATGCATTCACCAAAAGTTTTTCTTTGGAGGAAAAAAGTTTTAATTCCTCTCGATAAAATTCTATTATTCAAAAAACCAAAGAGAATTTTAACTGAATTATCCAGTAGCGTAGTGACTGAAACTGTGTGGTTCTGTAAAATTCAGAACTCTATTCTAAAACAGGATTTTTCAATTAACTATTCTATGAAAAACATTGCAGTAACTCTGGAAAAAGACGGTCTGTAAATTACACCAATACTTTAAGTACCACTGATTTAAAAAAAAAATGCCACCACATATTTGGCTCTCACAGTGAGCTAACTGATCGTAAGACACATGAACAAATATGTTACACAAGTAGTATATATTTTCTTTCAATCTTCTCTATTAAACTTTTTAATTTTCGCTAAATTAACAATATATCTAATAAAAACTCTGTTCGTCCTTGCTCAGCCGAAATTAACCAGATTAATCAGCTTTTTCCTCATTCCTGATTTATTTTTCTCTCTCTCAGCTTTTGTTATTATAATTTTTTCACAAACTTATTTAATCGTTCCGATGCCGACCACCGGCCTCGTTATTACTTTTGACTAAAATTGCTAATTTATTGCGTTGGAACTTTCAGTTTGAGTTCTTTTAAGGCTAATAATAAGTGTTTCATCAGCTAATAATAGTATCTGCATAAATTCTGACCATACACTCGGCATTCTCACTATTGCTCTTGAGTTTCACTTATTATTCTGTTATATTCATGAGACTTTTGTAATTATGTTTTTGCTCTATTTACTTCTGTTAAGACCTTTAATAATTATATCGTCACAAACTACTCACTCTAGACCACCGTTCCCTCTATTCTCTGTGTCTAATACTTTTTCACTCATTTAGGACTGTTGTCAGAATTTCCTTTCGATTATTACGTAACGTATTCTTATTATTTGCTTACACTCGCTACTGGCCTTTATTCTCTTTATATTGCATGCTGCGTTACTTCTTTCTTATTACTTAACCATATTACCTGGCACAATTATTTTAATGTTATATTAAATCTACCAAAGCTCTAACCTACCCAGTTCTAATCTAAGTTATAATTTACCCAGGCATTACTGGGAGCGGTCAGTGCGCGATTGCGTGATTATTTTGACCAATCTGCAAGAAGACTATCGGGCTACCAAAGCGAGGGAGAAGTCTTCTCTGCAGAGGATCAAAATTGTTATGGCCTCAGGGATGTTTCTTTAATCGTAGCTAATAGCTCATTGACACTACTTAACACAACTGCAACTACAAAGGAAGCCACATATTCTGAATAAAAAACCTATTGGAATAATAAGATAGTTTTTTCTAAGTATGTTATTTATAGATAGTTTGAATGATTAAAGCAATGCGAACTTATTTTGTATCCTTCAATGATGACAATGAAAATTCGAATGTTTTGATACACTTCAGCAAACTTGTCATGCCGCTTTTTTTTCTAAGAAATAATTTATGAAAAGCATGAAAATTTTTACGATCCCATAAAGTTTTGATACTTTCAAAATATGTATCTGTGTTTCATTAGAACTCAATGAAAATAATAATCAAGTGAAAACCAGGAATTTCAAAAAATTACAGTTGTTCGGAAACTAGCCAAATAGGGATAAAATAATGGCCATAATCCCGAGTGATTCATAATTAACATTTAAAAAAATATTATTTAACTTTTCTTAATAATATCACCAACTTTAAAAAGAGAAAAAAATCTATATATTTATTTGAAATCCAAGTTTATCCAATGACTTTATATTTGTTTCGAGATAAAGTGTCTACTACAAAAAATGGAAAAGTGCCAAGTTATTTCAAAATGCATGTAGCACACTTTCATGGTTAATTCTAACAAAAAGAAATGCGTTAGAATGGGAGGATGCAGACGTACTCTTCTTTAATTCATAATTTGTAAAGAGAGGATGTGGTTACAACTATTATATAAATTCTTTTAAAATGGTTGTAGCGAAACAAAAGAACCCATTTCATCATGAAGACTTTTTTCCAAAATGAGAAAAAAAAATCAGATATTGCAAATAACCTAACGCACGTCATTCAACAAAAGAAAAATAGCATTACAGAAGTTTTGGAAACAT